AAATATATATATATATATATATATATATATATACATCCATATCCATATATATATTATATATATATGTATATATATGTATGTATGTGTGTATGTATATATACTTTTTAGGTCCCATTAAAGTTCATTCAATCCACCTCCTTCCAGAATTTCGGAAAATAAATTTCCCATCACACTGGCATAATTGCATTGGAAACAATTAAAGTCCATTCTTAATGGAAATCTAAATTATAGTTCAAATTCAATCCACTCATAGCTAGACATGTGAAGACTAATGTTTTCTGATAACATTAACTTCATATTCCAATCATGTCCATGATCTAGGCCTCCTTTTCCAATAGGGTACCACACATTTATGCCCCTCTTAGCAACTAGTTTTCTTATTCTTAAATCATAACCTGTACCTCAAGAGTTAACAGTACCAAAAAACACCAAAAACTATGTTAGTTAAAAAACTAACATAGCTGGGCAGTGGTGGTACACACTTTTACTCCCAGCACTCAGAAGGCAGAGGCAGGGGGATCTGAGGCCAGCCTGGTCTACAAAGCAAGTCCCAGCACAAATATATAAAAACTTAGCTAAATGAGGCAATTTAATCTCCTTCATGACTCTAAAAATCAACCAACCAGCAAAACAACAAAAAAAAACTTTCACTCCCAACCCAATGAATGTCCTTGCTTACCACACTGAACAGCATTATTGTCAAAAGTTGTTTTTAGAAATGTAACAATTTGAGAGGCAATATTAAAATTCCAAATTCACCATGACCTAAGCCTCCCAAGAAAACAACCATTTGCCCCCAATTAGTTTGTCAGTAACCTGTTAAGGATAACTTTAGACTTAACCATTGATCCATCTTTTTTTTTTTTTTTAATTTGGAAGCGACAACACAGGTTGGATCATTGGTAGCCAGTCAAGATAAAATGAATTGTAAGTTAATTTTCAAAATCTAGCCATTAAAAGACAATAACCTTAGAAATATATTCATGCCACACTGCAGGAATATTTACCAAAGCTAGAAAATAACTAAAAAAAAAAGGCCGGGCAGTGGTGGCACACACACCTTTAAATGCCAGCAACTTGGGAGGTGGAGGCATGCAGATCTTTAAGTTAGAGGCTAGTCTGGTCTAAAGACCCTCCAATGCTGCAGAGAAACACTGTCTCCAAAAACAAAACACACACACTTAAAGCTACAGAAAGTTCTCAAAAACATACCTTAATCTTTGACTCATCTGGTCCTTTACTGGAGTCCGCTACTTTGGTCCCTTGTTTCTCTCTCTGCCTGTAAGTCTTCATGACTCCACATAAAAAGGCACTTTTGTTCTGTAATGAAATTTTCCATTCATATTAACATTACTATTATGTCTGTGTCTAATTAAATTTAAATAAGATCAAAAGTACTTTTTTCTACACTGAAATTAACATTACCTGCACATGAGAGAGATCACTATCCTTAAATTGTTGAAGAACTGCCAATGCGCCGTCTTCATTGAACTCTTTTAAAGCTTCGATAGCTCTTTCATCTAAATCACTATGTGCAACTAGCCCTGGAAAGAGAAAATGTAGTTAGTTATCACCTTTTAAAATTTCCAAATTATTTCTTCAGAAAGTCCTGTATTGGCCAATACAGGTACACACACGTGGCGATTCTACTCCCCTTATCTACATAATGAAGAATATATTTTAGCCATTCTGAGCTAAGTCCTCTCAACCACACAGAAAGAAGTCAACATATTTTACATCCCATTTGTGTCCAAGTAATCCTGAACACTGCAATATTTCTACAATATATAAGCCTACAAATCCTGTCAACCAACAAAACACCAAGCATAGCAACTGCAAGTCTACTCAATGTCAAATGCCACTAGAAAAAAAGGAACCACCACACCAAGAAAAACAAGAGAACTAGCCTACAGTAACCAAGTTATTAAACAAGAACCCTGCTTTAAAAATACCCCAAAAAGTCACATGGGCTGCTCTCAACATTTAGCAGCTGTTGCTACTATCATATACTTATCTGTCAGGCCAGACAGCGTTCCCCTAAGGGAGGTCTTTTCCCCACTTCATCCCTCCCTCTACACTTTAACCTCTAGATCAAACCTAAATTAACCAACTATCAGAACAAGGCAAAGCTCCAGTTCCCACATTTATTGGAAACCACAAAAAGTTGCTATTTTAGCTCAAAGCCAGAAATCCAATAGAAAAATTTCATAATGTAATTTTGCAAGTGTTGTTTCTTACCTGCAACGTAAATTTCATCTAGTTTTTCAGCAACTTTCTGTGGTAAACCAGCATCAAGCAATGTCTGAAAATTTTCTGAATGGATAACTGCAGAAGTAGTATCCATGGGCTCTTCAGTACCATTTCCATTAACATGTTCTGTAGCCATGTTTCCAGAGATCTGTTCAAACGCAATAAGCAAAATTAAACTAGGGTCTTCAAAAAGAATAGAGGACAATGACAGTCCCAATCTTTACTTTCTACCAGTAACTACAACCAGCCAGCCTGCGCCTCCCTCGAAAGAAACCTTAAAGTCACCATCGCCTGACAAGCCAGATTTGGAGCCCGGGGTACAGACGGACCGATGCACTACATTCTTTCCTGATCACCACCCCTGACTTCACCTGCTAACACTCGCTAGGAAAAACCGTATTACAAATGAAGCCCAATCAGCACAGGGACCGGCCGAGCCTGCCACATGCAGCAGTTCCAAAACGGAGAATAAGGTGTGTGTGAAGAAAAGCAACGCTGGGCTTGTCTCTCTCCAAGGTAAACCAGAAAGTGCGCTTTTCCCGCCTGCCGCTTATAGATCAGTAACAACAGCCAGCGAAGAACAAAGCGCTCACACAAGCCACCTTCCCACCACCCAATTCCTCCACCCTTCACCCCCACACCCCAAAGCCCGCCCCCCACTCCGCACCCGG